CAGTGCCTCCACACCCAGCTAATTTTTGTATTTTTAGTATAGCTAGTCCTTACTATGTTGTCCAAGTGGTCTCAAACTCCTCTGACTTTAAGCGATCCACCTGCCTTGACCTCCCAAAGTGCTGGGATTACAGGTGTAAGCCACCATACCAGGCCTTGAAGTTCATTTTTTAATAGCTCTTTGAGTATCTGTGGGAGGTAAACTCTCTTAGTCTTTGCATATCTAAAAATTGTTTTATCCCATCCTTAGGCTTTTTTTTTAAAGACAGAGTCTTACTCTGTTTCCTAGGCTGGAGTGCAGTGGATTGGTCATAGCTCACTGTAACCGTGGAACTCATGGATTCAGGCAGTCCTCTAGCCTCAGCCTACCAAGTAGCTGGGATTACAGATATGTGCCACCATGCCCAACTAATTTTTTTCAGTTTTTTGTAGAGATAGGGTCTCACCCTTTTGCCCAGGCTGATCTCAAGTTTCTGGTCTCCATCGATCCTCTCACTTTGGCTTCCCAAAGTGGGGGGATTATAGGCATGAGTTACTGTACCCACACCCTGTCTTTACTTTTGAAAATAAGGATCATAAAATTTGAAGTTTACAATTATTCTTTCTCTGCTACTTAAAGATCATGTTTTATTACTTTAGCATTAATTGCTTCTTAGGAAGAGTCTTTTTTTCTTTTCTTTTCTTTTTTTTTTTTTTTTTTGTGTTTTTTTTTTTTTTTTTTTTTTTTTTTTAAATCAAAGTCTGGACATTATGAATGAAAAAGCTGGAGGGTCCAAATGATATTCCTTCATTGTGGTTTAAGTTTTTTTAGGTGTGGAAATTAGAGTACTGGCAAATCATCTTGATCCTGTCATGGTTTGGTCTGTATTAGGTCTGTTTTCATTTTGTTTTTAACTCTTAAGATTTGGCTTTCCTGGGATCTCAGATGAGTAGCTAGAAGTATAGGTATGTACCACCCTGCCCAGCTAATTTATTTTTATTTTTTGTCTTGCTATATTGCCTAGGCTGGTCTTGAACTCCTAGCGTCAAGTGATTATCCCACCTTGGTCTTCTAAGGATTGGCTTCCTGGGATTACAAGTGTGAGCCATTGTGCCCAGCCTAGATTCATGTTTCTTTTTAATGCTTTTTGTTTCTTTTGTTTTTTTAAGAGTCAGGGTCTTGCTGTCTCCCACGCTGGAGTGCAGTGGCATAATGGTGGCACGCTGCAGTGTCAAACTCTTGGGCTCAAGCAGTCCTCCTGCCTCACCTTCCTGAGTAGCTGGGACTACAGGCATACACCACCACGCCTGGCTAATTGTTATCATTATTATTATTTGAGATGGAGTCTCACTGTTGTCAGAGTGAGACTCCATCTCAAATGGAGTTTCTTTTTAATGCTTTTTGTTTCTTTTGTTTTTTTAAGAGGCAGGGTCTTGCTGTCACCCAGGCCAGAGTGCAGTGGCACTATCTTGGCTCACTGCCACCTCTGCCTTCCAAGTTCAAGCAATGCTCCTAGCCTCTCAAGTAGCTAGTATTACAAACCCCCAGTGCCTCCACACCCAGCTAATTTTTGTATTTTTAGTATAGCTAGTCCTTACTATGTTGTCCAAGTGGTCTCAAACTCCTCTGACTTTAAGCGATCCACCTGCCTTGACCTCCCAAAGTGCTGGGATTACAGGCGGGAGCCAACATGTCTGGCTGAAATGTAATTCATTTTCTGATTTGCCTTTCCCTGATTTTTAGTGAGGTTGAGCATCTTCTGTTTTCTCTTTTGTGAATTGCCTATTAATACCCTTATTCCATTTTTGTTAGCATATTTATATCAACATGTGAATTCTCTGTTAGTACTTTGTCTCTTTTATATGTGTATTTTAAAAATACATTTTAATGCCGTACGTTTTGAGTTTGTGTGTGTTTTTTAAACCACTTCCTTGCATATGTTTTCTTAAGGAATGTTTTCAGCGTAAGCTTCATATGTTCCCCTGACCAGATACATGGTAAGAGTTTTGATACGCCCTCATTCTTACTGTTTCTCTTTGCTTCCTTTTCAGGCCTTTTGAAACAGATGGGCACCATGTTTAGATACTAGCAGTTGCATATGTGCATGTCTGCATTTGAAAATGGCAGAGGGAAACAACAATGAAGAGGTAATTCACTTGAACAACTTTCATTGCCATCGGGGACAAGGTACGTTTTTGTTTGCTCACACTTTATCCCTTTCCCTGTGGCTTTTTCTGTAGGGCACATTGGGAGCCAGATGTAAGGCTGAGTGCCTCACAGGGTCGCGGAGTGAGCCTTGTGCTGTGCAGAGGTGCAGGATCTGAGAAATAAAGAGACAGGACACAGAAGTACAAAGAAAACGCAGCTGGGCTTGGGGGGCCACGCCACCTACAAGCGGAGTCAGGCGAGGCCCCGAATGTCCAGAAGCATGAGTATTTATTGTGTATAGGTTAGGGGGCAGGGCAGTGAGTGAAATCATCTTTAAAGATAATGATAGGGTCGTGAGCAATAAAACATAGGGCCCACCCCCATTAGGCCACCTAGGCCAGGAGGTGGACAGTGCACAGCAAGCGGCCCCTTTCCCATGAAGGCAAGGGCGGTGTGCAGCAAGGGGTCCACCCTCATTAGGTCATCGAGGCTTGAAGGAGAGCCGTGCGCAGTGAAGAGGGTGCAGTGTGCAATACTTCTATCTGTGGGCAAACTACTTCTAAGAAGATTTATGGGGGGATGCTTTAAGTCACATAGCAGTGACAGAGCTGTCAAGGTTACCGCCACCTTCTGGCAGCTTCCTATGGGTTCTATGGGAAGATGCTTTTCAAGCAGCACAGTAGTAAGAGCTGATAAAGTTCACAGTCACCAAGTTGGATTGCTGTTCTGAGGGCAGCCTTCCACAAGAACTGGAGCAAGGTCCTACAACTCCTTTTATTAGGAGGAGTGACTCGCCCCAAGCCTGCCATACAGCGGGTATTGAACGCTGCCGCCTGGGCCATGGATTCTTGTCCTGGTATAACTGTTTTCCCTTAAATCATGCTCTGCACTGTGTCTACTCTAGGCATTCCTCCGATTATAAGCTGCTTATCCCTTAATTCATGCTCTGTACTGTGTCCACTCTAGGCATTCCTCTGATTATGAACTAAGATATAGGTATATATGTAGGGAAATATTCTTTAGGCACTCATACTATCAACTATTAATGATTGCATATAGAGGATTATATAAAGGGATTCTTCAAGCCCTATTTCTATAAACTAATATATGATGATGTAAAGGAGTATATAAAAGGAAATAGCTGAGTAGTAACACTATAAAGTGAGATATTCCTTAAGCCCTAACTGTGCCAGGGTTCTGCTTACCTCTCATTCCTTGGTCCCTATGTGGGGGGTTACCCACATTTTTCTTTTAGTGTTACAGCTATATCTTTTTTTAAATGAACCTGTTTTATACCATTTAGAATCCAGAGACATTTTATTTTTAGACATAAAAAGACTAGTTAAACTAGAATTAAATCAGATGATGATAATGCTGGCATGAGTGAAGTTTAAGACTCATTCATTACAACTACATTAATAAGTTATTTTGCTAGTGAAACGCTGCCAACATGCAGTCATTGAGTCTTAAGAGACAGTGTCAGGGTCAGTTTTTTAAGGCATGGTGATTATAAAGGAGTGCTCTACTAGGCCTTTATTACCTGAAATACTACAGGTGATGTTGAAGCAGGCTAGTCCTTACATGATGCTTAATTTCTTTTTTTTTTGCCAGAATATTCTGCCTTAGCCTTTAGGGGAATTTTGGAACATGTTTTTTTGTTTGTTTTATGGGTGTTTTTGTTTTTGTTTTTGTTTTTGAGATGGAGTTTCGCTCTTGTTGCCCACGCTGGAGTGTAGGGCCATGATCTCAGCTCACTGCAACCTCTGCCTCCTGGTTTCAAGCGATTCTCCTGCCTCAGCCTCCTGAGTAGCTGGGATTATAGTCATGTGCCACCATGCCCAGCTAATTTTGTACTTTGAATAGAGACAGAGTTTCTCCGTATGGTCAGGCTGGTCTCTAACTCCTGACCTCAGGTGATCTGCCTGCCTCAGCCTCCCAAAGTGCTGGGATTGCAGACATCAGGCACTGTGCCTGGCCTGTTCTACAATTTTTAAAGTTTTGGGGAATTTTATTGATTTGTAAAGGGAATAGTGCTTGCATTTCTGTAACATTCTTAAATGTTTATGAAATTTCCTGTTAAGTTCGAATTCACATTTACACTTGTGCTAAAAGGAAAAAATTCATGCCGAGGTGTAGAATCCTTATGTTCATTTTTTGCACTTATAAATTCTGTGGAAGAGGTTATACTGGTTTTGTTTTCTCCCATTGATAATATTTTGTGTTTACAAAGACGATTTTTTCTAGCAGAGAGTAAATTACATTTGACCTTAGAAAATTGATACCCGTAGCCCATGTTTTGTTAGCATATTTGTATCAATATGTGAATTTTCTGTTAGGTGCAGTGGCTCATGCCAGGCCAGGCATGGTGGCTTACACCTGTAATGCCAGCACTTTGGGAGGCTGAGGCAGGTGGATCATGAGGTCAGGAGTTCGAGACCAGCCTGACCAACGTGGTGAAACCTGTCTCTACTAAAAATACAAAAATTACCTGGGTGTGGTGGTGCGTGCCTGTAATCCCAGCTACTTGGGAGGCTGAGGCAGGAGAATTGCCACTGCACTCCAGCCTGGGTGACAGAGCAAGACTTCACCTCAAAAAAAAAAAAAAGAAAGAAAGAAAGAAAGAAAAATGACTCCTTCAGAACTTAAGTACTAATACCCTCCTATTGACTAGAAGCCTTACTGATAACATAGTCAATACGTGTTTTATACGTTATATGTATTATATACTGTATTCGTACAGTAAAGTGCGCTACAGAAAAGGAGTGCTATTAAGAAAGTCATAAAAAAAGAGAAAGAAAATTTATTTAGTGTTCCCTAAGTGGAAGTGGACCATTCTAAAGGTCTTCATCTTCATCATCCTCATATTGATTAGCCTGAAGAAGAGGAGGGGTTGGTCCTTGTATTAGTTTGTTCTCGACTGGCTATAAAGAAATGCCCAAGACTGGGTAATTTATAAAGAAAGAAAAGAGGTTTAATTGGTTCATAATTCTGTAGGCTGTACAGGAAACATAGCAGCTTCTGCTTTTGGGGAGGCCTCAGGAAACTTAGAATCACAACAGAAAGTGAAGGGGAAGCGGACTTGTCTCACATGGCTAGAGCAGGAACAAGAGGGGTTGAGGAAGAGGTGCCACACTTTTAAACAACCAGATCTCACAAGAACTCACTGTTGTAACCAAAGGGGATGGTGCAAAATCATTCATGAAATATTACCCCCATGATCCATTTACCTTCCACTGGGCCCCACCGCCAACATTGGGGATTACAATCAAATATGAAATTTGAGCAGGGACACAGATCCAAACCATATTATTCCACCCCAGCTGCTCCCAAATCTCTTCTCCTTCTCACATTTCTAGATACAATTAGGCCTTCTCAACAGTCCCCAAAGTCTTAACTCATTCCAGCATTAACTCAAAAGTCCAAAGGCTTATCTGAGACAAGTCTAGTCCCTTCCACCTATGAGCCTGTAAAGCCAAAAACAAGTTAGTTATTCTCAAGATACATTGGGGGTACAGGCATTGGATATATACTCCTGTTCCAAAAGGGAGAAATTGGCCAAAAGAAATGGGCTAGAGGTCCCACACAAGTCCAAAACCCAGCAGGGCAGTCATTAAATCTTAAAGTTCAAAAATAATCTCCTTTGACTCCGTGTCTTACGTTGAGGGCACACTGTTGCAAGGGGTAGGCTCCCGAAAGCCTTGTGCAGTCCTGCTATCTCAGGAGTGACACAAGTGGAAGAAAATCTGCAAATAAGTTGACCCACACTGTTCAAATCAGTGTTGCCAAAGAGTCCACTGTATATTTGACTTTCAGAGCATTTAATATTGAGCAAATTTTATAAGGTAAATCAAGAGTAGTGAAATTGCTCAAGCTATGCAAATTATGAGTACAAAAGTAGGAATAATTTTTAGGATTTTATTAATAGTGTATTTTAACTTGGTAGTAATTGTAGCCATAATTTATTGGATTCAGACAGTCTTAAATCTTAGTTTTAACTTGTATTTATGATCATTTCAAAATTTTTTATACATGTATATCAGATTAATGTTGTAGTTTTTTGTTTTTCTGAAAGATTAGAAGATGACTTCTGCTTTATGTAGTTGTTTTTTAATGGGATCTTAAATATACTCAGTTTCTTTAAGAACAGCTAATTCCTTTTGGAAAATTACTGACTTTGGAGATATATTTTTCTGTTAGACGAGCTATGTATACTCTGCACCCAATATTTTTCTGTTAGATGAGTTACATATACTCTGCACCCATCATGAGAATTTTTTTCAGATGTATAGTGTTGTTTTGTTTTTATTAGCAGTATTAACTTTTTTTTTTCTTTAGTCAAGACAGGGTCTCTCTATATTGCCTTGCCAGGCTGGTCTTGAACTGCTGGGCTCAAGTGATCAACTGCCTCTGCCTCCTGAAGTGCTGGGATTACAGGCGTGAGCCACTGTTCCTGGCCAACATTTACAATTTTTATTATGCACCAACCTCTGTAGCTTTTTTTTTTTTTTTAAGTTTATAGTTCAATAAGTTTTGACGAATGTACCACCAGAATTATGATATAGTACATTTTCTGTCACTCCAACAAGATTCCCTTGTGCTTCTTTGCAGTCAGTCCTTACCCCACTCCAGGCCTAAGAAAACCTCTAATCTGCTTTTTTTCACTCTGTAATTTCATGTAAATGTACATACCATATGTATTCTTTATACCTGAATTCTTTTGTGAAAGGTAATGTTTTTGAGATTCGTCCCTGTTATTGCATATATCAGTAATTCATTCCTTTTTAATTGCTAAATAGTGTTTTTGCCTACTCATCTAGATTTTATACCTAGTGGAAATAGGCTTAAAAATGAAGATAAAATAAAGATTTTTTTTTTTTTTTTTTTTTTTTTTTTTTTT